CAATAAATTGTTATCTCCAGCCTTTCCTTTTCTCTGTTTTTTTCCTTTTTAATTGAATATTTGGCTGTGGTATCAATCATTTGAGACCTCATTGAGTATTCACCCCAAGTCCAATAGCATCAATCAGAAGCAGCCTGTTGAACATTTGCACTTGAAACAGGAAGAATCACACTATCATGCAAGAATGATGGAACTTCTCTTAATAATGCCACTTCCAAACTCCAATTCCAGATATATTCATAAACTTCAATTGGGCTATTGTCTTTCTGGATATATCAAATTGGACTAATAGCTCTTCCTCTTCATATCTTCTTACTATTTTGCACAATATATATGTCACCGTAACCAGACAAAATGACCCAGAGATCCAATTCAGTGAGTTGGATGACTGATCATTCTAATCAAAGAGCTTTGGACTTTCATGGAATGCAATCAAAAATCAAAGGGCATAAAAAGTATTGGTTGGTCCCAAACATAAACATAAAGTGGCATCAACTTTCTCAATCCAAAGCGTCTGACAGAGTTGTTTTGACGGGTCTCCTACAACCTTCCTCTAAAAGTACCTTGAAATTAGGAGCTTGTCATGGGGTAAATTTGCAAATTTACTCTTTTACACAACATTATGTTTAACGTGAAATTACCAGCTACAGTACACACTCTACAATATTGCATTTGATCAGTAGAGATAGAATATAAGAAGCTGGCCAGTGAAAGGTACTATGAGACTGGAGCCAGTAAAGTTGAAAATGCTGATGTTGTCCTGTGGCTTTAAGCACCCCAACACCAGATAGGCAGACCAGTGAGAACATATATCAGTCAAATCCAGTTCTAAATATTTCATGAAAGAGTTCTAACTTGTCACAGGGGCTCTTTGGGAATTTGAAGTATATTTTCAACAGAAACAGTCAGGAATTTGTCTGGATTGCTATTACTCATCCAGAAAGTGACAGAACAGAAACATTTAAATCTGTTAAGCCATATTTGGATATCTTATGTGTCAAAAGATAAGGTAAGCAACTTTCCAAAAAAATCTAATGAATTTGTACCACCAGCTTTGGAAAATCAATTGCAAATGGTAAGTATATCTGCATATAATAATGGTAGAACATAGAGGATTTTACAATTAAAAAAATACCATAAGAGATTATATTAATCTTTTTTATGAACAGTGAAAATTTTTTAAAATTAATTATTTGTGGAGTGATTGTATTAAAAATAGAAAATATAAAAAAACCCAAAAAGGAAGGCAAGAGCACGGTGCTCCTGCGCCCAATCATTTCCAACGTAGTTCCACTCTGTCTGACCCTCCCTATTTTGGCAAAAACCATTGGGCCAGAGAAGGAAAATTAAATGACTATAGATTCTTTCTCAATGGAAATCATTTTGAAAACTCACTGGAAAACTATCAGTCTTGCTCATATCAGGTCACTCTTTCAATGGCTTCTCCAATGAGGTAAAAATACCCTGCTGGCCATACATCTCTTTTTACATATTCTCATGCATGTTATGTATGTATCTAATGATGTATGTTCATAATGTGCATTGGTGTAAGCGGAAAAGTTTCAGCTTTGAATTCCCAGTTTTGCAAATTTTCAAATATATAAGTTTATGACATGTTCTTTCTGGGTTTGGGATGTCATCTTGAACATTGATCATGATGATGATGGATAGTTTGAGGTTTGTATGCTTCATGATATGCTCGATACAATCTTAGTTTTTAATTTTTTCTGGCAAAGCATTAAACTTTCATGGTTAATATGTTTATCATCTGTTTTGTGCAGAAAGGAAGGATTTTTATTTTTAAGATTGCTGTATACAATCTTTTCAATGATAAGAAAAACAGAGGAAAAAGAATGTGGTTGGAGATTGAATTGGGATAAACTGCTATCCTCATCTTTGTTTGCTTTTTTATGGAGTTTGGATTCCATTGCCAAGAGCCAATCCATGTTAAGGGTTTTCCTAGGGTTTATGAGCTAACTTTTTTGCTATTTTCGGAATTTAGATAACGGCTATTAGAGCTTTTCTCAAAAAATATTTATTCTCTTGTTTAGGAAAATTAAGGGTAATGTTCATTGACTTGTCCTTGCCAAATGGAAACCGACCAGCTTCTCGTCATTCCAAAAAGATTGATCCTTCTTTCTTTCCAACACTAAATCAGCTATGAAACCTGTTTCTGCATTACCTAGAACTCAAAATTTCCTGATAAGAAGAATGACTAAAACAACACAGAAAAACCCAATGTGTTTATACCTATGCACCAACCCAACTTTTTATTCGTGAGATCATAGTTGTATGGGTCATCACATGGATGCTAGGCAATGCATTCAGAGTGCTTCTATGAGGCATATGATAAATCTTTGGATTCATCAAAGATTTAAATTAAACATCTATAATCAATAAAGTAGGTAGTACTATTATCATCAATCCAAGTGTCAAAGATTATGTGATAAATTTGATATATTAAATAAAATTTTGAAGTAATTGAAGAACAAGGAAAGATTACAGAAAAGGATTTGGTTAGAAGTATATTTTTCTTTCCAAGCAATGTATAGCAAATCAAAACGAGGACATGCAGTCACAGAAACAGATCCAAAACAAGATATCTGAGGTAAAAGAACTAATATTACCTACCGTGATGGTCATATGCTGCACAACATTAACTAGAATACAGATGGCCAAATCCAAAACATGTACATAAAATTTTTTGGAATCATTTCCATCGGGGTTAGATGGTTGACGAGTCATACGATACGGATCCAAGGTGTCATGAAGTGTGTGACACATTTCTTTTAGGTTAAAAGTGAAGAGTTTTCTTGTGATATAAGTTATGTGAGAATTAGGATCTAGGTCAAATGACTTACTAAACCAGATGTTTCAATTTTTAAAATAAAAATTTGTTATTATAAATCTTTATAGTTGGAGCAAGTTTTGGAGCTTCCATCAATAAAGGATGCCCACAAAATGTTATTGCTCTTAAATTTGTTAAAGGATCATCCCTTTTGTGCCCGGGGCTTGTCCTGGTCTCGCCCTGAAATGCATAGACAAGCAGCTGAGGAAATATCTTATGGACATTGGTTACAATGCATAAGTGCATCTAATTTGGTTTAATCATCTT